CCAAGAGAATCACGATCAAATATAAGTGGAGATGATGAAGAAACAATAATCAAAGAAGTGGTAAATAATTTTATAGTTTATTGATATTAAAAAAAATATAAATATAAATACTCTAATACCTATGTCCTATCTGGTAATGTGTTAAGTAAAGCAGTAAGCTGTTTGCAGTTACATGATAATACTAACATAATAAATCTTTATCCATCTATTATATTGGTTTGTATTTTGTATCTATACATTTTTAAATAAATGGTTATTGTATAATTTAATAACTTAATAAATATATGTATACATAAAATTATTACATAATTTATATTAATTTATAGCATATTAGTATCAGGGGCGGACTGGGAATAAAAATCGGCCCCGGGGAAGCAGAATATTCGGCCCAAAATTAAAAAAAAATACTATTTTATTATTATTAATTTATTCAGTAAAGAAATGCAAATGATAAGCCAAAGGTACACATAAAAAAGTATTTAAAAGTTTATAATAATATGAAAACTACATAATTATTTAAAAATTGCTTTTGAAAAACTATAAATACTTAACTAAACATACATTTACTTTTTTTATATCTTTAAAATTGGTTGGATCTAAAAGAGATAAATCTGAGTATAATGAGCCATGTTTTGTAAATCGTTCATTAAGTTTATTGATAATTGTTTCCAAAACTATATTGTGTACAGTTATTTTGTATTTTTCAAGTGGATTTATTGTAAGTTGGTCTCTTGATACCTCACCTGCCATTTTTTTTTTAATTTTACGACGAACTGAACTTTCATCTGGGAACTGTGATTCAAGAATTTCGTCACAATCTACTTCTTCCAACTCTTTTTCTGCCCATACTATAAATGAATCAGTAGCTTCTTTTACTCTTTGAAAATCTCTAGATATTTCTTGTAAGTATGTTATAGTAGGTACTAGAAACCATCCTATATGCTTGAACTAAGTCCATTCCACTTGTTTGCAAATACTTGGACAATGGTGAAATACGCTCAAATATTCGTAAGTACCTATAATTGTGATGTCATGACAAAACTATATTTTAAAAAAGAGTCCTTTAATGTAATAGCTTTATATCGTGTTTCTCGATTAAACTTATCAGAATTTGAATTAGAATTATTCTATAATTTTAAACTAATATTATTATTTCTTTGTCTACGTATACAATTTTTACGTTTATTCAGTTTTAATTTTATCGGCCCAAAATAGATTAAGCAGCCCAAAATTTTACCGGCCCAAGCGGGGATAGCCCACTCGCCGCCTTAGCCAGTCCGCCCCTGATTAGTATATAGTGTTATATAAAAAAATTAACTAACAAAGTTACTCTGCCATAGAACTTGTCCTTCATTCACAAAATAGTCCATAAAACTTTCCCTTATTCTCTTTGCTGCATTTGTTACATTTCCTTGTTGTCTTCTATCTAAATCTATCATGTATGAACCTGTCGAAGTTGCACAAAGTATAATTGTTCCATCATCAAACATTTCCGTATCATGAGTTTCAGGAGGACTGTAAGAAGCTTGATTTGTTTCAGTCAAGTAATTGTGTGGTATAAATGCAGTTTAGTAGTAGATTTTTTGATCCCCCCCCCCCAAAAAATATGTGTTTTAAAGCACTGAATACAAAAGTCTAATTCCAAAATTCTCTCAAATCATTATTTTGGAAGTTATAACTTACCAAAGTTTACAATTTACGCATTTACGTACCTATGCATGCGCGCGAAACGCTGTACACTTTGCTTTCCTACGTTAGGAATTGGATTGTCGCCTATTATTAATTATGTTAGGTATTTTATTTTGTGATTATTAAGATTATTATAATTTATAATTAACGACTTTCAAAAGGTAATAGAACTGATAATGTTTTATTTTCGTATTAAATATTAAATATTACTGTTTGAGGATTGCTATGTTAGTGCCTACATGCGTACTCCAGATCACTACAGTTTTTGTTACAGTTACGACAACATATCATTTTAAAATGTCATTTGTTAATTTTATTGACTTATATGATATATTTGAACATAAAACCAATGGCCCCGTCTCAATAAGTGTAATAGAAAAATTGCAATCGCGGAATTTGTTGGCCCGTAACGGTGTGTTAAAATGTAAAAATGGTCATTATTTAAAATTATACCCTGATGTGCGTTCTTTAGACGCGTTTGGTTGGAAATGTAGGGCACCTATAAATAATCAAAAAAACCGATGCGACTATTATCGATCGATTCGCGTAGATACACTTTTTCATAAATCGCATTTGTCGTTATACCAAATAGTATCGTTTGCATATTTGTGATTAGAAAATGTGTCATTGTCATTTATTGTAAAACAAATCAAAATTGCTCAACATACTGCTGTTGACTGGTCATCGTTTCATAGAGAAGTCGTCTTCGAGGCTATGATTACAAATCATAATAAGATAAGTAAGTTTAAAATAACATATCTTAGAATTACAAGTTAAATCATTTTTTTTACACTATTAAATTAATTAATTCATGTTATAGGTGGAGTTGGTCAAGTTGTCGAAATTGACGATTCCAAATTTGGTCGAAGAAAATATAACCTCGGGCATTGTGTAGATGGACAATGGATTTTTGGTGGTGTTCAGCGAGAAACTGGAGCTTGTTTTTTTAATACCCGTAGAAAAGCGAGATAAAGATACCCTTTTAACAGCAATCAATGATTGGATCTTACCAGGGACTACAATTATCAGCGATTGCTGGAAGGTATAAATACCTTAATACATTTAGTTTTTACCCTGTGACCTACATGAGGTGGTTTTGCACTTGAAGTCGGGGGATATTTTTGATTAGTGGAGCGGAGCGACGGCGCTGAGGAGCGTAGCGACGAGTGCCGCTAGCATAGCATAACTGACACACTTTATCAAAGAATTGATATTTTAAATTGCATGTCTGAGCATTTCCCTCCTAAAGTGAATTATTAATTATTGCTAGTTTTTATAACAGTTTTTTATAATTTTTACGGTAGTCGCGATAACCGACAAGTACCTCCGAGGGATATTGTGATACCGAGTTGTAATATTGTGTTATATTATATATTATATATATTATTATTATATATATTATATTATATTATATATATTATATATTTTATTTATTTACAAACGAACAGTGAATAAGTACAATAAAGCGATAGGAACATTTGTTTGACACCTTCTTTAAGCAATTGCTTGTGTTGAAGGTGATGAGTTCATAATATCTTAATATCTAAAGTTTACACCGATCAGTTCTAATATTAAATTATTATTAAAAGGAGAAAGAGAAAAAAAAAAACAAAAAAACAAAACAAAACGTAAATTTAGAAATCGAATTAAATCCTTAAAGAAAACTTATTTGACTCATTATATAAGATTTAAAATGCTTAAAATTACTGAAATTACTGAATTAATTTGTTTTATTACAGTTATCAGTGTTTGGAAGATGAAGGATTTGTTCACTTAACGGTGAATCATTCTATTCAATTCAAAAAGCCGGAAACAAGAGCTCACACAAATAATGTTGAGGGAATGTGGCTTCGCTTTCTCAATATTGTCGCAAAAAACGGTTTTATGGTGGATATTTAGCTAACTTTATGTTTCTGAAAAGGTGTCGTATACTAAATATCGAACCTCTGACGGAATTTTTTAACTTGCTGGTGAGCTGTATGACCCAAAAGCGATACAAGAAAATAATTTATTGGTAAGTGATGATGAAGCGTCTTCTGAAACGGATGGAAGTGACGAAGATTTATAATGTAATATTGACAAAATAAAAAAAATTTTAAAAAATTTTTGTTTTCTATTTTTTGAATTTTTAAACAGCGAGTACGATAATTAAAATCTTTATGCATATTTCCATCCATCATAAAAACATACAATTAAAAAAAAAAATTAAAATGTAGTTTTTTGATGTTGTAGTAAACCGATAGAGTCGCTTTCCTATAATTATACATCATAAGGACTTTGCACTATATGATATATTGATCAATAACTATAACACGCCCTGAGGTTTATTACATACTTCAAGAACACCATTGGAAATCGCATAACGATTTCTAATAATACATATTGCCAAATAAACCAGTTCGCAACTCAAGGTTTATTCGACAACTTTTAACATTTACGCCGGTACCTTTCAAACCGCCGGTATTCCTTTGATCCACCTCCGAGTCTCTACCGTGTACCTAATAACCTAGGGAGACTTTGTATATATACGAGTCTCCATCTGTATCTAAATTAGAATTAGCGCAGTGCTAGTACGACGTACATACTTGTAAGTACTTACTTAGTATTAACCACTAATCTCTCGGGCAGACGCTTATCGCTCTGTACTCAAATTTCTATATTCAAATGTAATAGGTACCATTATATTATTATTAACTTTAAAATAAATTACTTAAATTATAACGTTGTAACTTGTAACTCTGCAACCTTTTCTCCTACTCAATCATCAACGTCGTCAAACTCAAAATATAATCGTTAGTGAGGGATCACTACAATGTTTTTATCGTAGATATCACGTATTTTTGAAAAAATTACTATTTTATAGTTTTTTTGGTATAACTTCCAAAATAATGATTTGCGAGAATTTTGGAATTCTGCATTTGTTCCGACAGGTGATTGTAATTTAAGTCAAATTGGACCTGATGAACCAAATGTAGCAACATCATCATCGTCGACTACACCTCAACGTTCGAGACCAAAAAAAAGAAATTTTAATGCACTTGATCCAAATTTAACAAACGAAGTTCTATTAAGTGTCAATGATAATTTCAAACGTCCTATACAGCCCGACGATCGTTTCGATATTTTTGAGAAAAATGTGGCAATGAAGTTGCGTGATCTGACTAGAGAACAGCGTATTTTAGCCGAAAACATTATCAACGAAGCACTATTCTTAGCTGAAATGGATACATTGACTATATTCCACAAAATATCGGGTCCTTTGAATAATGAACCACCACCCATAACTATGGTCTATGACTAACCGAGCACCAATGCAACAACAATATGCCACAGTCTCACATATAAATTATTTAAATTCAAACACTGAAGCGTCAGAAACCATATTTCAACCATACAATTTAGAAAACAATGTAACACCTGGACAACTACCAATGAATGAAGTACCCAGAACTTGTGAAGCACAAAATACAACTACTGCAGCTTTATATTTATCTCAGTTTGGGCAAGATGATTCTATGAAGTAAGATAATAATCTGAAAACTGAAGACCTTATACAATGTAATTAATAATTTATTTAAAAAGTATATCTAATGTAGGTACCTATAAGTATGTACTTAAGTTTAATCATAATAAAAATATGCATTACAAATGTTCAAAGTTTTTATTACCTTTAAATATTTTTTGGAAAGAAAGATATATGGCTTCACATGTTTCCGGTATTATGCTGCTGAGAGCTTGAGGTGAAATAATAGTAGACAATTTCAAATCCTCGTAGCTTCTGCCAGTTAATAGGAATCGTAACGTTTGCATCATTAACAAAACATCACATTTGCCGCGGAGTAAAGCGGCCGCCCCATCGGGGCCATTCGGCCGATGCTTAGTACGTAACCGCGGCAAATGTGATGGTGCAGATAGGAGGGGACCCGCGTATGTCGTCGTCGTTGTCGTCGTGGTCGAAATTATAGAATAATTTGAGCAAGCACCCAGTTCTTTTCCTCGCGCGGTGACGTCATAAATGGGCGGCCATGTAAAATTAATTGTTCCACGTGGAGCCGTTATTGACCATGCGTTAAATTGCAATATTTTGTGTTTAATAAAAAAAACTATAAACTATGGTTCTTAGAAATTGCATACGATTTGGTAATAAAAATATATATATTATGCATTTTTATTTTTTTTACAAGTATACTACTTAATAATAAAGTGACCATGTGTTAAATTGCAATATTGTGTGTTTAATAAAAAAAAATATAAACTATGATTCTTAGAAATTGGCTTGCATACAATATGGTGATAAAATATATATATTATGCATTTTGTCTAATTTTGTCTAATTTTTTTATTAGTATTTTACTTAATAATAAAGAATTGCATCCGTAATGAACAGTATAAACGCATATAAAAGAGCGTAATGTTTAATGCATTGTCAGTACACAGTGACATACTATACAGACCTACCCAGGCTGACTTACAGTATGTTTGACGGAGACAAAACCAAATGTTCGGAAATCGCTATGGAATCTACATGCAAGAAGAGGAAGGCGGAGAAAACTGTGGCACCGACGAAGAAGGGCAAGACAATGTCGATAGCGTTTGTCAAAGTTCCTTTGTTACAGATGAGGATGGCTATGGAGAAAGAAATGTTGAGTGTGGACAATCTGGATCACGTTACTCAGATATTGACGGATTTCAAACTGAAGGTGGGTCCCCAATTTCACATTTCCGTTTGGATAATTTTGATCGGTCTATGGCACCCGGGACATTTTGCAACATTGATGAACCCAAAGAAATGGACGACTACGAGCCTGGCAAGCGACGAGCAACTGGAGGAATGCAATATGGAGGATATTCCTATGAGGGAGAGAATCAAGGCCATGTTGCTCGTAGCTCGCCAATTTATGAGCACATGCTTAGAAGAATTGTTGATCGAATTTGTGACATCGATTTTCGAGGGAATGATCGATACATCAGCGACGTTATTGTCCCCTGCGGACCTAACGGAGTTGATGAAGTTACTAAAGAATTACAAAATATGTTGCGACAGTTCCCTCCAAAGCTCCCAGTCATCGTCACAGTCCATGGCGACCTTGTCCATAGCGTCCACGTCTGCCGACAGTCAAACTCGGCTTGTCAGTGTATATGGTTGCAACGATCCGTCCTCTATCGCCAACATGGACGACGTCGCCTTCGAAGAAGCGTTTGGGCGATATTTTTTTCGTTTGGGGCCGGGAACCCCAACAAATTGACGGCGTCGGTTCCTATGGAGGATTACGTGATGGACGCAACTTTATATAAGTATGTGGTCAAAAGTTACTTGCAATATGTTCGTAATTCGTATCTAAAAGAAGTGTTCATGTCGACCATCGTAAAAAAATATGGGTCGTCGTATCGCTTTAATGCCACTCATTAAAAAAAATATAAATTTCGGACCACAGAAGTTGACATTTTGTATAACAGACATTTGCCTAGTGTACGAAATTACGAGAATAAACTGCAAATGTTTCAAAATCATAAAAACTATTACGAACCGTTTGAAGCAACTCCGTTTTATATTCATTTAAATGAACTTGTTTATAGTATGTCAGATAAATTAAAAATATACAAAGGTACTAGAAAAATACTCGTGCCTAAACAATGTCAATTTTGTTCAAATCATGTTTCCACATTTTTCAATCATGCTAACAGAAATCTGTTAATCTCTCGTGTGGCGAAATGGCCTTTCTCATAACCGTATAATTTTTTCTAATGAGTGGAGTTATTAGAGAGAGTAGATTGAGATAGGTTTCTTCACTCATTCTGAGATAGTTGTGCCAATTCTTTAAAACAACGTTTAGTTCTGTTAATAAATTTACATGAGAATAAACATTCCTTTTTTTCAACCACTCTTTACGTTTATTTTGTTTTTTTTATTTTTCAAAATTAATAATAGTGAAAACACGGATAAAACATCATCATCAGATGACATCTTGTAATCACAACTACACAACACAAGCAAATGAAAAAATGATGTTTATTTTCAGTTAAAAATGAACGTGTGTTCACAAGGGACGTCAGTTTTAACTGACAATTTTTACTGAACAGTTTCAACTGTCAGTTAAAACTGATATCGTGTGTAGCCACCATAAGATATCATTTCTTTATCCGAAACCATACAGTCGTGCGACGCTTTGATAGATCCTTTTACCTCATCTGCCAGAGTAACTAATGGCAAACATTAAAAATACCAATTTTTACTAATTATTATTTTTCTTATAACCAATAGCAACCATTTATAAACAAAAATTTCTATCGTAAATCTCAAAATACCTGTTTGAGCACCTCTCCGGGTTGAACCATCTGGGTCTAATTGTGAATCTAAACCAGCCCTATGCAATTCGATGAAATTAACGTGTAATCACCCGTGCTCTTATTGATTGGACAGGGAACTCTTATATACTAGTACTGACATCTATCAGTGACGTAAGACGATCTAGATATTATCTGATAATATCTACAAATAAATTTCATGAGAATTTTTTTATTTTGTATTAAAATTATTCGTTTGGCACGATTATAGGATATTGTTGATGTACTAAGGTAGTTCTAAGTCTAAAAACTTTAAAATAACAAACAACTTTTAAGTTTTTAATTTATAGGTATGTATACTATTAATCATTAGGTATAGAATATAGATATTAGATTATGATTTACAAAATGTAGACAGTTTCTTTTTTTTCGCATTTTCTTTCAGCTGTTCCTGGTTTGTTTGCCTAGTCCATTGACGCATTCTCATATTTATATAATATTTTATAATGTATGATAAAATAAAATCTGGATGTTCCGCACATGGAAATGTGAACTTTTCACACTTGATTATCAATGCTTATACTGTGTCTTCAAAAACACTTGTTTTACTTAAATTGTTCATCAACTCATCTTCAAGAACACTCAATAATTTATACAATAATTTATTTGGATGTTTCAGCCATCCCCTAGATTTTATATTTGTCAAATCAGCCTCAAAGGTGAAACATTCAATACTTGTGACAGTAGATTTACATTTTGGACAAGAACTTCTTTTAATTATTTGGTGAGTTAAACAACCAGCTATGTAATACTTTAAGCAGTCCACAATTGGAGCCAATGAATAATCGTGTTCCATTATATCAGTAAATTCCCATTCACCTTCATTTATAAGACCATTTAATTTGGTTTTTAATTTGTCTATTGATGTTATATCTTCATTATTTTCATAACAATTCTTTATATCAGAAATAGTTATTAAATTTGTTTGTGGCATATTACTATCAACAGTACAATTTCCATATTTTGGAGGTTTTAATATAGCATAAACTGAAAGCAGTTTATATACCTGTAAAAAAGTCGGTGTAGATGGATGGTCATTTGCACCTGAAGCCATTCTCACCGTACCAAAAATACGATAGAAAATTTTTAATTTATAATATTCAACAAAAATGTATGCCTATGTATATTTTGTTACATTACCTCCAGTGAATCTTGGTTAAATTTTCCTGTGAGAAGGTAGTTGAAATTATACTTATCTATTAAATAATCGGACAAGTCTATAGACGATGTAAGTGTAACTCTCAGTCCTTCTGCTGTACTCTTGGTTAAAAAATCTTGAGATTCAATTTTCCCAGCTTCTAAATTAGATTCCCAAGAGTTCAACCAGTCCAGAGAACGTTGAAGTATCTGTTTAGTTATAAAGTTGACAATTGTAATTTGTGATTTACATTGAATAAACACAGAATACAATTTGTATACATCTAAACTGTACATTAAATTGTAGGTACAAACATAAATCTTGTCACATCTAGAAAGTGTTAAGGTGCCTTTACATTTATTATATCTTAGATAGAATTTAAAGGCACCTTTAGTAGTTCTTGTTACAGTAATTTTCACGTCTATATATATTTACTGACTAGAGAAAATTAATATAATACACATACAATTGACACAAATAATAGTTAGTCTTGTTAGTTGTTATGAGACATTCAACAGGTTAAATGAAATATACCCCTTCAGTAAAGCTGACAAAAGCAATCATTATATACAGTTGTGTAGCTGGAGTTCAATCAAGGGGAGGGCTATTTATATACTATATTAATTTATTACCTTTATTGGCTATAACTGTGATTAAAGCATCATCAATAAAAAAAATTGAGGGGTGTCATCCACCCCTTCACCAGCTAGATCAAATAGTTTAATAGCTTAACTTTTATAAATATTGTACAAATTATTACATGCATCATGCATACAAACCATATTATAATGGAATTTTACGAACAGATTATGTGCCATAAGTTAGTATTTTAATTGTATTATTATATTGTATTATTATATTACATAATGTTGTATGTAATTTCCTTGTGAATAATAATATTACATTTACAATATAATAAATAAATTAAAAATAAACAATTTAAATATAACAAACTTGATAATTTTTTGATCCAGGTTTAATACCTTGTACAGGAATTTTCGCATTTAATGCATCAAATAAGTCATTAAAGATCAAACAAAAATCTATTGTTGTACCACAATTACTCAAACCTTCTATATTGTATTTTTTATAAAATTTTAAACCATCTGCGACAGATTTACTAAAAACCTGTAAAGGAAAAGAAAATATGACGTTATATAAAGTTATATTACCTAATAACCTATAGGTTAGGTTAGGTTGCGAGACGTACACGCATCTTTAAACATGTATTTAATAATTTTACATGATTTTCAGTCAACTTTGGACATACTTTTAATTGGCTGTTACAATTCTTCTTATCTTGGGCGTGTAATATTTCAAAATATTCGCACTTCACTGGATTTCATTTGGATTTATCTACAAGTAATGTATGGATATTGAATTGTATTATTATTGGCACAAAAAAAAACTGAATATTACCCGAAGTTGTCTGTTATTATATAGGCGGTTCCTGACACATTTAATTAAATGGGGACTATCAGAAAATGCGAAAAATTTCCTACTGCTGTCAGCGAAATGTTCAATATGGGTTTTTGAGTTACCTAATTTTCCACTTATACCAAACTCAGACCATACTCGTCGGTTAGTTTGAGCTCCATCTGAAACGAACCCATGGACCCGAGCACCTGCTTTCTCAAGAAGCAACACAGCTTTAATAATTAATTTTACCAGTGTTTGTCCATTAACTGGTCCTTTGGATGCAAACACTACGATAGGTTGTGTATAATTATCAGCTATGGGATGGAACATAAAAACTAACCCATGTGTGGCTTTAGAATTTATGTCTATTGCTTTTGGTAAGTTAATTTCATCATCTTCTCCAAAATCTATTAAACCTCTATAAGTGAGAGATTTAGAATTTACTGCAACACTTTCTCTAAGCGAGATTTCGTCAAATATCAAAACACCATGTTTTTGAAGATCTGTTTTAGCATCTAAATGTTTTTTTTCAAATATCAAAAAATAGTTTGTCAAATCCACATGTAGTATTTATCGTTGACAAATACTCTCTGATTCTTCTGGCTGAAGGTAGTGGTAATAATTTATTATTTTGCATAAAAGAATAACTAGCTGGTGATCTAATATGTAAAAGCATACATAGCATTATCCAGTCTTCTGTATATCGATTACCTTTTGAGCTTTTTCTTTTGGAGGTAGCTATTATTTCATTTATTACCAATTGATAATTTTTTGGAATATTATTGGATGTTAAATTTTTTAATATAGTTGATTCATCTAAATTACTACATTTTGTTTGACAGATATTTAATTGACTTTTTAATTTGTTCAATTGTTTTCCAGTACGACGATTCAATTCTCTTATATTTTAATATGCTGACGAAGTAACTTAAGCTTTTCAAGTTTACTTGGAGTACAAATTAAACAAACACGTTTTACAACAGGTGTGTTTTTCGTACTCAATTTTTTTCTTTGACATCTAATAAATGCTATCTTACAAAATGTATATTGTCTAATTATTTTATTATCATTTAATCTGTTAATAGCTAATTCTTCATTAACTATTAATGAACATCCAATAAGTCGAAAATGTCCATTGCTATCAATACATAGAGTATTTGTTTTATATTTCAACGCTTCTGTTGGTATATTAACTCCTTCGCACATTATAGCACTATCCACCTTACAAATTACGTCTTCTAGTTCTTGTATACTTTGTACCAAATTTGAGATGACTTATCTGAATTGTATCATTCATAATATATGAACATTTTATTGTTGCATTTTCATCTCTGCTTACAGATCGCTCAAAGTATGGCTTTAAATCAATTTCTCTTAGTAAAATTTTACTATATATAACACTTTTATTATTTCCAGGAATGAGTCTGCACCATTTTGAAGGAAACCGCACAGAGACCATATTTAAATATATTTGTTCAAAAATATTTTTTATAGAATTGGTTAATTTACTATGGTCAAGGTTTGGCTCTCTTATTAAATTTGTATGAACTGGAATACTATACATTTGAGTCCTATTATTTTCATATTGTTTCTAAGAAAAAAGCAAAATTATGAATGATAGAATATGTGAGTGAAAAACTAAAATATAATATAAAAATATAAAATTAATGTTACTATTTACTATTCCAGAAACATTATATGGGGAGATAGGCAAAATAGGCAGAGCTAATTCCTGATGAATTATCATTGGAATTCTCATGACTAATAATCAATTTTTTTACAACACTGATTTCGAAGGCAGTTGATTTGTATGTATATTGCTTTCATCGACAATTGCATCAACAGTATCAGGAATATTATTACTTAAACCTTCAAATTCAACTATAGGATATGCATCTGCTTTTAAAAGTACCTTATTATAAAAATATATGTTAAAAAAAGAATTATGTAAATAATATAATTATAAATGTATTATATAAATATACTATTTTATTATATAACACATATTATACATTTTAGTTTGAAAAACTTACTCTTGAACGTTTTGTTTGTTCTGGACCGTTTCTTATAATATTTTCTTTTATTAAAAAAGCTTTGGGAAAATGTGTTTGTCAAATTCGATCAGCTACTAATAAGGGAATTGGAACTAAAAATTCCTAATTTTCTCTCCGCTTTTTAGTGACTATAAAAGTCGGTACTCCTCCTGTACCTATATTGGCTTTATTGCATATGGCACATTTTTTTGGCATGATGACTAAGAGTCGGACTGATTAATAATATAAAAAAAAATCCAAAAGTTATAATCTACGAAAACACTCATTACTTAAGTTAAATTATTGTTACGTCCCAACTGACGTCGATATATACATCAACGTGGAAATGAATACTTGATGCACTTGGTTATTATGAGTATTTATTTAAGTACAAAATTACAATGTATATAAGCTATGGTGGAGATATGAGCGGTGTTATGACCTGACTCCAAATGTCTTGAGTATCCCTAACCGTCTGCCGAGCTCTTGTCCCGGGCTGGTATTTATATGATCGAGTCCTTTGGAGTGGGTGGTTGTATCAATGGCCAAATTCGGTCATGAGACTGCGTCCGGGTCTCGTACTTGGTATGCTGGTCGACTCGTATCCTTCGTATGAATGTTTGACTTTCCTAGAGAGATACTTTTACAGTGTCCCTAACGTGTTATAATATACTAATTGCCTTATTAATTATATCGTCGAGTACTATTAGAAACCTGCGCTACGTTGTACATTGTTATTACTTAATTACTAAATACGTAGGTACGTAACACCTCCCTTCTAAAAAAAAGACTTTATGTTTAAAAGCTTAAACATAAATCTTTAACATTTTACGGTATTATAACAATTTTACATATATGATACATTGGTTATAAGATAGTGATACATTGTTATATGAAGTAGTGATACTTTGTTACATTTAAATTTAATACATTTGATTTTAAAATTGTGATACATTGGGTTAAGTACATAATAATTTGTTAGATATTAATACATTTTTTTTTTTTGTTTTGTTTTGTTTTACATTTCCTTCTTATTCTAGTGTTAGTACATGGTGGCTATACATTTGTGGTTAAATACTTAATCTATTATAATTTATACAATTAGACATTATAATTATTACATATTTTATATATTCATCCTATAATCTATTGGTCTTATATGTGTTTGTTTTTTTTTTTTTTTTTATAAAGGGAAAAACTTTTATTTGAAAGCTTAATTACTTTACTAGAGTATGTCCATTCAAATGTGTAGAATCTTATCGATTCCCTGATTTCCCAGTTATAGGTATAGTCTACACTATTGAATTGACACTCTTTGATTACTATGATTATTTTATTGTATAC